ACATCACTGCTATCGAAACCTCAAGACTCTAGCTTGAAGCTCCATGTTCCACTGGGAAAGTAAAGGAATATAAAAAATGAGAGAGGTGTTATACTAGTGATGAACAGTCGCATAATAGTTGTAAAGTGTTTCTCTTGAACAACTAGCTAGCCAGCTATGTTGTGTCGTTTCGTCTCTAGGGAGTAGTTGTTGTTGGTGGTGGTGGTGGCGGTGCAGTAATGCTCATAGAATTTAGTGCATGTTTAAAACACTGAGTGATGTGTTAGTTTGCTGATTGATTAGACTTATGGTGTAAGGGAAGCAGTACTGTCTTTTAGACAATGTTATAAGAATAACTCAATATAGTTCAGATGGATATTTTCCTTTGGCGCTCTGCTTGCGAGACATTCATTGCCTATCTCGACAACATCTTCAAAAGCCTAATACCTTTTAAAATAGAAGTCTCCTACGTCTTCAACACCAGGAATATAAATTATCCCTCAAAAGACGTGAGAAGCATTCCTACACACCAGTATATTTAGACGAGTATGCACACCATTTTGACTGGAAAAATGAGAAATTGATAGACAGTAACAAATACTAAAAATGCCGAAGAATTCTTAGAAGCTTGATACCCACTCAACAGACATGTTGACATTTATCAACCAGCAGAAAATAAATCACATGGTGACTGAGTGAAATACAAAATTATTGAGACTATCTTTCTGAATACAAATTATCACACAGATATGAGAGAGTCATATCATTCACCTCACATTGAAGTACACAATGATGTTTTAATTATGAAGACATTGAAAGCTTCATGACTATACTGACCATCTCAGGGTACGCAATTACATCAAAAACAATTCAGTGATCTTGATTATAAGGAAAACTCCTTATGATTCCAGTTACTCTACTTCGTTTATTGCGGGAATGGTAGTATTTTCTAAGAGTATAACCTATTCTACTACATATCTAATATGGACGTAATACGGTTGTGTGTGTTTTTTCCATTCCTTTGTGCTTCGTGTGAAACACAAGCTGGAAGTTTCTTTGGCGATGTTATTCATTTTTACAGGGTAAGGTTGCTAGTCCCACCAGCTAGTAAACTAGGCAGGATTTAGAAGTGAGTCGACCGATAGTCAAACCCCAACCATGTACCTGGTTGGTGAGTATTCTACCGCTGAACTACCGACCTAGTGAACACGTACCAAATACTATTGTGGCATATGCTACTGATGACATTTCTCAGTAGTATATACACAAATAGATGTTCATCTGCATAAAAGCATGAAGTAGCAGGGAGATAGATTTGATGTCAAAGGAAGCAAATGATAAATCGTTGCGTAGATGCATGGAAAACTTGAAAGGAACACAAAGAAACACATTATGAGGGCCGGAAGTAGCACAATACGGAAGATCTGTGCAAATGGTGCGTTGAAGACAAGGTCTTTCGTCTTCTACCTTTATAGTATGGCACAAACTGACTGACACAATATCTAACATATCAGAATGTAAGAAAAAGTGGATAGTTAGCATACCGTTTGGAGAATCAGTTAAGCATACGTACAATCAGAGGGATCACCAGTCATCCTGAATATCTAGAGGTTTCCATAACGTGTATAAAAAACAAAAGTGGAAAAAAACGGAAACCATACAAACCAATCTACAACCTTGTGATGTTGTATTTGTTACTATTAGGATCAGTAAATATTGCTCGGCATGTATTCCAGTCCGACATAATCAGTCATCAGAAAATGAGATTTACCTCAGAAACAAGTAATAACGGATACTCATTGCGCAAGAGATGGCCATCGTGGCCATTTTGGTCTAACGGACAGTGCTATGGGATCTGAAACAGTGGATGGAGGGTTTGAGTTTCAGTGAAACCATACACCAACGGGAATGCAGGTATATCCAGCTGACTAGTTCTGAATGCACATCACGAATTTAACTGATAGTCACCACCAATATATTGAAAGCCTACGTGGAATGACTAGCTGACAAGAGTTTACAGTTGGGTACCCATCAATCTCTAGTGGGACTTGATAATATCTCTTGCGACTGAGATGGTTAGGATATGTGCTACGTATGCCTAGTCATCGCCTTCCTCGACAATGGGCGATGTTAGCTGATATAGGGAGAGGCTGGAAAAGAGCTAGTGGCAGTCAAACCAAAACATGGCACCAGTCAATGTAATCTACAACAGTTATTCTAAGCCACGTAGGAAGGTGTAGACTAGCCTCCTGGTTGGGGTCTTCGGGACGGTAAAAACCAATGGTTGGAAACAATTGGTGACATGGCTCAAAATCGTTCTCAATGGCTACCGCAGATACATCCACTCCTTGTGACTTATGATTTCCAATTAAACTGTTTTGATCTTTGTTATTACTATACCTTTGTCTCACACCTCTGTTTACTGTCTATATTATGCATTTCTCCTACTTTCTTCTCTTGCTTTGTGTGCTACATGGAGTGTGGCAACTTGAACTGCCGCACATATGTGCAAAGTTCTATGTCGAAAACCGACTGACCGACCGAGAAGAAGGGATAACTCTTTTTAGGAAGACACTACCTGGGAATAGCTATCCACCACGCATTTTAGATAAACATATAAAGCTGAAAATCAACAAAGAACAACCAATCCGTGTGCCAAAGAGGACGCTTTACATGAATGTGGCTTTCAAAGGCGACCTTCTGGCTGATATCCTAGAGAGAAGAATATATAACGCCCTGAAAACAACATTCTGTGCTACATTACGGTTGATATTCTTAAGCCTCCTATTAATCTTCAACAACTCCAAAGATAAACTATCACATTCAACCACATCTATGTGTATCTACCAATTTACTTGCTCATGTGGAGCGAGATATATAGGTCGTTCAATGCATATTTTATCTAAGAGAGTCAAAGAACACTATCCCGCTTGGCTACGAAAAGGTAACAGTGGATCAATAAGGAGTGCTATAAATGAACATATATATTCAACACTGTTCACTCAGTTTGCAAGGAGAATTCATTCTAAGTCATCTACAAAGTCGAAAGAAGCCTCTCGTTGAAAACGGTAGGCTTGATGAGGAGGCCTTTGCCGAGGAGGCCTTAGCGATCTGGATAAAAAAAACCCTGACTTATGCACACAGAAGAAACTTCTCCACACTCTCTCCTTCTCCTTGGGTATAATTCAAAATCCTACACCTTTGTTAGTGATGTTCTTTTTTGAATTTTTGTATGACAACTCAGTAACATCTTCTTCTTAACCAAATCTTTATTTATTCTTATTAACCAATCCATAATTTATTTTGTACACATGTCCCCATGCTGTTTCATTTCATTACCATCCTATTTCTCTGGGTGTCATTCATATCACGTAACCCTTATCAATGTTTACTAATCATCAGCCAGCCTAATTACAGTTTGACTAATTTTTTATTTTTGTTTGATAATTCTAATGTATACATACACACACAAAATAATTATATATACAAATGCGAATGAATTAGCCGAAAAGAGACTCTTCTCTGAACTTTTTGTTCTTAAATAATGGCAAATTTACAATGAAGTATTGGCTGATTGTGTTATCTATAGAGATAATTAAAGCTCGACAATTAAACCACTAAGCTCAATGAACGAAAATACATTTAAAAAAACATGCATCTAGGCCATAAATCTCTCTTATTATTACATAATAATAACTCATTATTAGTTTCAAACAGACATTAACTAGAAACTGTCTATATTTAACTGACTTCTGAATAGCAGAGATATCTGGGTTCACGAATCTGTATAACATATTAAAAGGACCAACCATTAATAAACGCCCAGTGGTATAACGAAGCATCATATGTGAGTAACGCCAGAAATATAAATACAATGCAAATTATTAACTAGATAATAATAATTTGCTTTATTCCAAAACAGTACTTGTGATACAGAATGGAATTCTCAGCATTTTTACTACAGTATTGCATCCAGTTAGTACATTATCAATAAATAGAATTCTGCATAGATTAAAGAAATCTCATTTTATTATAATAACACATTGGCATGTCGGTAGCAAAGCTAAAGTAGAACAGTGTTTGAAGGTGCTAGAAAAGTAGGTGCTATCATATTCACTGGCGTAAGCGGAAGAAAGAAACAAAGCAGCACATAACGGAAAAAAAGAAAAAGAAAATGACAGAGAGAAAAGGAAAAGAAAGAAAGTGTTGTACCTATAAATGATATGAGTTGGAAAGACGAGGTCCAGTTGTTCTACTGACTATTTAATAAGTTATAGGTATCACGCCTAATGCTTTCTTTATCGCACAGAACACCAGCTAAGTAGGGTATGGTTGAGTTTCTGTACTTGCTGGTGCGAGCATAAAGTTTTCCATATAGGCTTCTGGTTTTACCTGATGAGATGCAAGGGGAGAGTTGTGAGTGAAGAGGGTGGTTTGAGTTAGATAAAATCGATTTGGCCCATTTTTCACACGAGTCCATGTGCCTTTCAACCAGAATATTAACAAGCTGGTTAAGTGGCACGTTGCTTACCCTGCTGATAACCTTCAACATCCTACGTAATAAGATATAATCCTTCTTCAGTAGCCCGGGAAAAACTAAGGGGGAACAATAGAGAATAACAGGCAGGATGCGAGAGTTAACGAATTGTAGGAGTAAGGGTTGGGTTATACCAGAATGTCTTAACTTCTTGATATAGAAGGTAAGATGACAAATTATGTAACAGTCCATCTATCTATCTATCTGTTTTTAAGTCTATCAAACAATAGAAAGAACTTCAACATCCTAAGATTTACAAAAATTTGTATTTGACTTTAAAACTAGGCGCCACAGTCTTGTAAGTCGTAGCAGCATAGATTCCCTTCATAGTTTCAGACTTAATTCATGCGGATAAGTTCCAGTTGGCATGATACATCGGCTGACAAATTCCAACCAACTGAGTGTTAACACTTTAAACAAAGAAAACTTATCCTGCAAAAAAAAATATGGTTCACAAAAACTGCAGAATAATTTATTTGCCTACCTGTATTAATGGAATCCAAAATAATCCAATATTATAGATGCTGTAGTAGAGGAATCCAATAACATTCAATATGGCGAAATCAAAATTAAATCCAACCACACTAGAAAAATAAATAAACAATGAAATATACAACATAAAATTAACTGAGTAGTAAACACATGTATGAGCAATTAACATCGACAAGTTCATCAACTGATAACAGTTCACATGCAACTACTTATGACGACTAAAAGAAACATTTTATTTCCACTGTGACGAAATAGAGTTGAAAGAATGAAAGGATCACAAAAATCCTTCAGAGAAAATTGTTCGTCAATACATATAAGATAGAGATAATAAATTTTATCTGATAAAAAAATAATTTTACGGTGACTTTTGATTTGTTATTTTTAAGGTTTAAGAAATAATAATTCCTTAACTTGAGATAAAAATGCTTTATGGAACAGTTTTAGTTTAGAATTGTTATTCTATGCCTTATCGTCTTTCCGCATCCAGCGGATACAGATCCACTTCCTACAGAGTCATGACATCAAATGATATGTAATTAAAACAGTCGAGAGATGTCTATGACTAACCAACTGACTGACTGTGTTTTATGATAGAACTATGCACTGAATTTCAGCAGTTTAAGTCAACACACACAAAGGTGAAGAACAAAAAAATTAAAAGAACTGTAGTAGGTAAAAATGTACGATAGAAACAATAACCGTGCCGAAAGAAACGAGTACTTAATGGACAGAAAGGACCACAAAAGTTGGATTCTAATGAGTGTGATTGTGAGCCATATCACTAACACCCCCAAGCAGTTGGTTCTAGAGAGATAGCAAATGAAATTGCCTCAATCAATTTTTTATTTGACTCTACATAGTTTAGAGGCTTGTTACATTCGTTGAGAAATAATAGAGAAACAAAGTTTCGGAAATGCTAGTAAAAAGTTGTAAAATGCATACAAACAGATATATTCAAGTGTTGGTTTTTAGGGATTTGATTGATTGGTTACAGGATTTCATCATGAGCTAACATCGGTTAGTGAACCATTGGAAAACCTGGGAGTAATGGACAACTCATGTCAGCTCATGATGAAATCCTGTAACCAATCAATCAAATCCCTACGAACCAACACTTGAATATCGATGAGATGCTCACTGACGACTTGCCCTATTCAGGTATGTAGTTACTTGGGTTTTAATGGGAAGTCATGACCAGTAGGGTGTAGCAGGTCGGGTGTGAGGACAAATACTCGCCGAAGACATTAGCTAGCGGTTGCGCTATGTCGTGAATTGGCTACTGGATCAAGTCCCAGCGGCTTAATGGCCTATGAGATCACCTTGTAACCAGAAAGTCCTGGGTTTGAATCCAGGTGGGTGAGCACTGATGAAGAGTCCTAAACTAGGACGAAACAGCTGTCCAGTACTCCCTGGCAGGTTTTCCAGTGGTTCTCTAACAAATGTCAGTTCATGATGAAATCCTGTAACCGAACAGACATATCTTAAGCAAACACGGAAGTATATGCAGCTTTCTGAGTAATAGCTAGGCTGTATCAAAGCTTCATCATTCAAACAAAATCAACAAAATCATTATATGCTCGTTTAGAGGTTTATACTACTGAAATATTCATAAACTATACTATAAGTATGTTTACTTTTGTGTTGAATGACTAACAACACAGTAAAAGAGGTTAATATTCTTAAAACGCACAGGCGGTTGCGTATTAGGAGCTTTGGAAGGAAACTGTGACAACCAGATTTGATAAATAAACCTCCAGTGCAATAACTCTTTAAAGAAATGCATAATAAATTTCAAGAGAATAGAAGTCAAAACCACCCTACCTTTTCCTTCTCCAATTCATATATAACTGAGGATAGAATGAAACAGTCCAAGCAGCAAAATAAAGCCAACCAATTATAATTTGTAGTATATTTAACCAACGTAAACGCACAACAGTCACTCGACATATTGCAGATTTTGCGCTAAAAAGGAAGAAAAGATGACGGTGGAACGTTTCAACCTAGGTTTTTTAATAATCAAATATATACTGCTATATTACATAAAGTATGCAAATATAAATATTATCCTACCGCTTAATTAAGTTGCTTTTAAGCATTATCTAATTCTTTATTCATGAGTTGAGGAAACTTAAGTGACAGCTCGCCTTACACTAAGCAATAATTATTTGCGTTAAGTTAGAAAATTACACATTTCCAAATAGAACTCAGCATCTTACCTGCTGAATTCAGGTTGTCACACTTCCCTAAGCCGTCACAAGGTGTACATGAGCAAGAGATAATTCATGAGAATACAAATAGCCACATCAGCCTTTGCTAAGCATCTTCAAGTAAACTGATTAAAGAATAAACACTTCTTTCAAAATTGTATGAAATATGCGTTTATGTCGGTAAGATTACTCCTCAATAGAAATTTTCCACAATCCGTAGCTAAGTTATACATTTTTGATTTAGGCTGCAACTAGAAACTATAAAATTACCTATGCTAATCAAAACACAATGATCTTGTATCATGAACTGCTTGTGTGCGTATGTTTTGCCTAACACTGCTGCAGCTAAAACAGAGATTTAAAATGAGTTGTCAGTTGGTACTTGAATGGATTTTGTTTCGTTACAGTGATGAAGCTTAACATCTTAATCAACCTAATTTTTTCCCTTCCTTAATAACTTGCACCTGACTTTCTAAGTGTTCACATGCTAGCTTCACTTCAAACTCGAGACAGGCGACAAAGAAATATATGAGGTTGTTGTAATTCTTGTTCTCTTTTTATGTTATAATTTTCTTGGATGACTTAATTATGCAAAAATTAGACGAAAAATCTATTGCTTTTCTGCAAATAGATTAACTGTGACAGAGTGAACCTTCTGAGCATCATTATAGTAAAGGATCAGTCACAGATTGGTCCTTATCATAGGTATTCTAACTACTGGTGTGATAGTACTTCGGAAGAATCATGAATTCACTCCAGCCATCTACTTATTTGTTGAAAACTGAACACAAAATGTTCACCTCAGTAGTCAGCTTGTTGCTGTATTCTTGATGTCACCTTAAGTAATAATCACTTTATGCTGTCAGTCTGAAGAATGAGGATGAAACCAAAATAACTTCAAAAATTCAAGTTGGGTACTGCCTAAACAAGTTGTACATTATATCATGAGCTAAAATAAGATATTATGAGTTGAGAACAGTTTTACATCATTCCTATTATTTAAGTGATCTAACAACGTTGTACGACTTATTCAACTATTTTTATGTTTACGCTTTTGATCTACCTTATTTGTACTTCAACAATTTTGGTGTGCATCTTCGCCACTCATTATGTCTGATGATGTGGTAATGACTGTATGTCAACTACATACAGTTTATATATGTAAATAACTGTAATCATATCCTAAGCATAACGCACTGTTGAAAGCGGAGGACATTAAACATCCAATTTCGCTATATTGAGTGCACATGTGTAATAAATAATTTTAGATTATATATGATATGAATGAAGTTATACTTACTTTACAATATCAATACTTCCAGATGAATTTATTCTCAGATATATATGACCGGGTAAGTTACCAGTTATTGTGACAGGAGTAGGACCATCTTGATTTTTCTTTATAACAAAATCAGGTATAGGAAGAATGGCTGAGCCGTTCAGCTTTTCTGGTGAAACCATATCACCATTTCTTTCCCAGTAGCTTAGCTTAAGCGTCACATCGTTTGGCACTGATTGACTTTCAGAAAAATGAATACAAGGAATGAATAAAACCACATTAATTCTGATGGAAAAAGTATGAAACTCTAATGCATGCAAAGTGCAAATATGTTTCAACTCAAGAATATTAATGCGTGAAACCAGTAAGCGTATAACAAAAGTTGTATTTTGCTTACTTCAAGCCTATCTTCACTGTGTCTGATTCTGATTGCTGAATGAAAAGTGAATCTGGTAGGAAATAAGCTTCATAACTGTCAATGGAAATAACAGCTTTGCAAAAAATATTTAGAAGAAAAAAGACTGTTAACACTCGGGCAAACATTACTAATTCATAAATGTGAAATCAAGATGCTCAAGTTCATTCTTTAAAGTTCACTAGAACAAACAAACTCCCTGTATAGATTCAATGGCAAATGTCACCTTACATAATGCCATAAATCAAAATTTCTTTCCTAAATAACTAGGAGTCTTTTTGAAAAAATTACTAAGATTCAGACTAAACATTGAGATTACGAAACATTCTTTATTATCTCACAAAGCAGATGTTTTTAACCACATTACCTGAATGTTTCAACAGGGCTTCCTATACACATTATTTACTTTAATCTATCTGCTTCATTGACTCAGTAATCTAATTTTTTGTAAGAGGATTGTTCAACTGCAACTCAGGAGGGTCAAATAATTCTGACCCTACAAAATGTAGGGGTGATGATAAACGTTATCGTGATATATTATCGCGCACTGTATGGGTTATCGTGTTCACGCCTATAGAGGCGCTATAAGCGTTTATTTTTGTGAAAGTAGATTATATAGGACTGGTTTCAGGCTTCTATAGCCGAAAAAAGCAATATTTTCCAGTATTGTGTTCGTATTAATGGATAAAATTGTCATGATATCCCAGAGGATGTATTACTTCAAGAACTCATCGTATATAAGAAATTTAGTATAGAAAGACTATTATTTGCGTTTTAGAGCCGTGATGGTTTGTTATTTGCTAGTGTTTTGAAGATATTAAGGTTGAAAATTAACTATAGGCAGTGGTTGTTTTCATAGCAGTTATTCTATGATAACGAGACATTTGAAGGAGAACTAGCCCACAGACACAAGTTAAATATACGTTTTGAGGATGCCAAACACTTTTTTATCATCAACCGTGATGATTGAAATATTCCATAACACATCGAAGAGAGCATACGATGAATGAGACAATCTGCTGAATTTCCTGGTGATTACCTCCATTTCGATGAAGTTCCTAGTTAAAATCGCTCAGGTGAAGATGTGATACTAGTTTAATTTACATTGTCACATGGAATTTCGGGAGACTGTAATTGCTGAGTGCATTACATTGCATCATATTATGTTGATATCATTGTGCAACTGGGCGAAAAGTATAGTATAGATAGTACTTCTAAAATGTCAAACTGCTTCTAATTAGAATCAGCTTTCTGTAGAATAGTAGCTAGCAGCTATGTCCTACAACTACTAAACGTGTTACTGAAGTTATATCAGTCTTAATAATTTTTCATTTTTAGATCACTAAGATATTCTGAGATGCTTAATGAATTACTTGTGACTATGAATGATATGGAAGGTGCACTTATGGCTCGTGTTTGTAAAGCATTTATTATTAAACAAGTTATCTGTAGGGATTTTCTGATGTTCAGGTTACAATGCTTGAGTGTATGTAGTTACTGCATGCTGTTGTACTTGAAGGGACAGTTGGTGAAAGTGAAGATAGGATAAAGTTTCCTCTGAAGTCATTATGAATACTGCAAACTGTTGATAAGAAACTGCATCAAAGGAAAAAATTCCGAACAGCTAGAAAATATTACTGCAGTTTCTCAGGATGCTGTTCTCCTCCTGAAATACCTTTTAATTATGTGAGGGAATAGCACCTACCCAAATATATGCAGTGTTCACTGTGAAGGGTTCGCAGTTTAACTTTTAGGATAATCCGTTGTAATTGCTTGTACAATAATTGAACAATCTAAACTTTCGAAAAAGTTTTAATTTACGACACTTCACGATTGCAATTTATAACCTAACTTATTTTGCTTGTAGAGATGTCATCCATTCCTTGTAAACACCCGTTTAGACGACATGTTAAATTATTATTTGCTTGGTGCTATTCTTTAGAAGAGGAACAATGTGTGTGACAGTGAAAACCGCAGAAGAATGTTGTCATAACCAGAGAATGAGAAAGGAGAATGAACCTTTTTCAGCAAAGGTAGGCAAATATAAAGCGCTTAACTTCTACATTACTTAGTTCTAACTTCAACGATTTAAAAATTACACTTTATTCACTTACTTGCAGATGTTTGGTGAAGTCAGTCAACCTGGTCACAGCAATTACGCATCCCAGAAGTAATTACGAAAAACAATTGTAATAATATTTTTATTTCTGGAACAGAAACCAGCCATTTTTACAGGCATGAACATATGTACACTAATTAGAACTTATAGAATATATATGATCTGTTAATCTAGAAATAGATTGAATACTGGTAAATTTGAGAGAAATATTTAAAAAGAAATGTACAAATAAGGCAATAGGTAATTTTCGAGATATGCTTTCAACTGAATAATTCATGAGATATAGCATCAAATCAAAACTGTAATTGAAAAAAATACGGTATGTCAATTTCACGCGGGAATTATAAACGATTACGTTAATTGTGGAAAGTAAGTAGCATTTTTGTACAGGTGCTGACGTGAAATATAAGGGATGCGGAATGAACAGTAATTGTAAGTAAATGATTCATAGAGTGTTTGAAAGTCCATAAAACTTCAAATTCACCGGTAAGTACACCATAATTGTGACATTTCCAGTTGTATATGAGACCAACTTTGAACTTGTCAGCAGATTTCATGATAGAGGTGGTTCCGTTATTCACCAGGTGGGCTAGCAATATTCCGAATTAGTTGAGGATAGCGGCACTGTTTCAGTGCCTTCGTTTAAGGCAGTACCTTTGAAAAGAGAAGAAGACACAAGAAAACCGCCAGAGAGGTGCAGAAGTATATAGTAGGTGTTAATAATTCAAAACATATATAACAAACATGGGGTTCATCATTTTTTTTGTTGTTTTTTTTCGTTAAAAAAAATACTATTTCCCCCTGAGATTTTCTAGTGATGGAATTCTAGTCTTTCTTGCGAAAAGAAAAAAAGTTTAAGTGAAAAAAGATGATAATTTTACCTACTTATATAGGTTGAATAGGAGTTAAACACAAAAGTCAAAGTGCGTGAGCTATGTAGAAGAAAAGCGAGGGCTTAATAATAACTACTGTTTTTCTGAAGTATACATTTAGGTGTCCTTCTGAAGTAGGGGACTCATACCATGTACTTGCATTCGAGGAGTTTGTTATTTAAACTTCAGCTTTAGGCAAATTTTCAACTTGTTTTTTTAAATTTTATTTATTCTCTTATTTTGCAGAAGCCATTCGAACTCAGGAGCCTTAGCAATAGAGTGCTGTCCCACAGATAAGGGTGGTTCTCATATGTCCCCACCATCATATCCGCTGACTAGCAATCACCACCCTCCCACCTTTTTTGTGCAAGGCCCTGGCAAAATGCTTCATTTTTTGCTATATATATCTTTTAATTTCTGTTATAATATGCCACAAACTTTTCTTTTTTTTAAAAAATATTCATTTGTCAACTCATTCGAAGTCATGGCATGAGTGACTACTTTCAGAAGACCGTCATGTATGTTTCATCTGTTACAGCATTTTGGAGAGGAACAATAATAAAAGTATAAGGAAAATAGACTATCAGAGTCTACATTTTAGATATAAACAAATGTAATTTCGGAAAACAGTGCATAATCGTGTAGCATTAAACATATAAGTAGTAGTAAGTTATAATATTTTGTTCCGAAAGATTTGACTACACAAGATTATAGTTATAGAACAGTAAGTTAGGATTCATTACTGTTTAGGACTCACCGTATAGTTGATTATTTAGACTACCAACATTCGGGCCTTAATTTGCGTATAGGCAGACAGTGCTAACATGTAGCATTAGGCAGTCTCCAGAGACATTTTAATACCAGTTGTCTTCAGTTGATTTGCATCTGGAACTTGAGACTGAACTCTTAGCATGCTGAAATACTCATAATACCATGTTATCAGTGATATATGCAAAAAAATTGTTTAAAATATTCGAATGAAGAAATAATTAAAATTTAAGGCTGATTGAGAATAGGTGACTGGGGTTGTGAAAACAATCATAGTGAAAGTAGAGTCAAACATAGAGATCACAGATTTCGGGAGCTAACAGTAAGGGTCAGAGGAATGCCGTATTAGATCTCTGATTTTTAGTCTGTCACATACGCCTTCTAACCCGGTGTTGATAAAATATTTGTTCAGCAGAGATGAGAAGGTTTTTGGGGTAGGACTGTTTCTAATTTCAGTTGGAAGACGGTTCCAAATACAGCGGTATCTGACAGTGAAAGAATTTGATCTGTACTTTGTATGACAGCGGGGCACTTCAAAAGATGAAGATTTATTTCTGAGGTTATATTTCTTAGGTGAACTAAAAGTAAAGTCATTGTGGGGGAAATATATAAGCCCTTTAGCGATCCTAAATGTAATTTTTAGGTTAAACTTCAGTCGTCTGACCCATAAGGGTTCCAAGTCAAATATGTTGCATCTGTCGTAGTAGGAAATGCAAAGATTTTCACCTACTAGACGTTGAGTAAACGCCCTTTGTAGGCTTTCCAATTTGCACCTGTCTTTTACGGAAACACTGTCCATGACAGGAGGACAAAATTCAAGTAAGGGCCTTATGCATAACTTGTACAGCATAATTTTGGATTCACACGCTTTAAAGTTTCGGAATAAAAACCCAAAAAGCCTTTTAACTTTTGATACTTGTAATTTAACGTATTCCGTTAGGCTAAATTCTGGAGTGTATTTTAGACCCAAGTCTGTTGTAAGCGGCAGACGAGGAATATGATTGTTGTGTAGGGAGATGGAAAGTTCGGATGAAATGCCTTTGGAGCATAGCACACCACATTTTTCAACGTTAAATTTCATTTTCCACGTGTTACACCACAATTGAACCCTATCAATATCATCCTGAATCCTATCAAATACACATGACACTTCATTTCTGAGTGAGTGGTATACTATTTTGATGTCATCAGCAAATAGGAAAGGTCTGCCATGTCTAATAACGTCGCAAATATCATTGAAATATAACAGGAATAACAGTGGACCTAGAACACTACCTTGTATGACTCCACTTGTTATCCGAACGGGGTTGGATGTGTGGGAACCTAACCTGACCATTTGCATCCGATTGCTTAGGAATGAACTGAGCCAGCTTAACAAAGAACCTTGGATCCCATAAG